AATATGAAGTGCATCAAAGAATGTGTTCTCCTTTGTTCAAATCATAATCTCTGTTCCAAAGAGATTGATTTTAACATTAGAATAAAGTTAGTCTTCTGTCTGGGCTTGTTCTTAACACATGGTTCTTCATCATGCAAGTGACTGCACAGGACTGTTTCACCAAAAACTTAACTATTGATTAAACACCTCTGTCCTGGAGAGAAGCCTTATTTCCTCTATTGATTTGTAATGGCAGAAACGGAGTTTCAGATCTAATACTGCTTAAGTGACACATAAATGTTTCTTTGCCTGTTAGCTACGACTCTTTTTCAAGAAAAGCAGTTTGCTAATTAAATTCTTATTAATGATTTTGTTAAGAAATAATTTCCTACTTCTAAGTTCTTTATCTTCTTGATGCTCTCTAATTCAAAATTTTTATCTTCTTTTTAACTTTTCACCTTCATCATCCTTCATCCTTCATCATAATAGATTCTACTTCTCCATCCTTTGAGTTTATATTATTGGTTTTTCTTCTTTCCATCTTAAAAATTCTCTTAATCATTATCTTACCTTGGTAGTACTAAGCACAGAAAAGCATTTTTAGTAGAGAAAATGGGTACAATACTGTACTAAAAAGATAGACAATCATCCCTGAGAGTCTCTCAAACCCCTTTCTTTTAGCACATATTATAGTTGTGTTGGTTAAATTGGAAGAATTTTGAAAGCCATCAGACCATCAATGCAGATATGTCCTTATGAAATTCACCACTCTGCACTATTTGATGGACTCTTCTCTGTCACATTTCAGCAGCATCCTGAGTTTGTTCCCCCGCTCCATCATCCCAGATCCATGAACCTCTGGTCACCATTCACCATCAGCCAATGAAAAGCACTGATGGGAAGTGCTGTGGGCTATGGATAAAGAGACCAGAATGTTCATTCCATGACCTTTCTTGTCTTCCTAAAAGGTTTTCTAAGGCCACTGATGAGGTGGCAGCAGTTCTTCCGTGACAGCCTCAGGCCAAAGCCCAGGAATACGTCTTTCTCTGCACCTGATACCTGGAAATGTAATCATCTTTCTGCTGTTGCTGATCCATCAATGGACTCCTTACCACTGCCCACACTTCTGTGAGATATCCCTGCCTCAAAGACCATTCAGCAACTTCTTTTTGTGTGCCATTTATTCCAAG